ACAAGAACCTTTCCTTTCCTTTCCTTTCCTTTTTTAACTTAATCAGACTTAGAGCTTCCACCTACACTACATAAAAATAAGGCTTGTAGAAACCTAAATGTTCTTACTACCACAAATGAGTCTAGCAAGAAATTTTTAAAAATCTATCATTTTAATGACAAATACAATTTTAATTATAAATTGTTAGATCGTTATATTTTTTTATATAAACTGAAAAAATAAATGATGGCCTTCTTAAAGGTAAAGAGTTCATTGGAAAGATCATCAGTTCTATTTTATTCATCTATTTTTACTAACAGTATGATAAAAAATAAACATCATTTAAATGTTTACCTTAATATCTTGAGAATTTTTTCTAAATACTTAACATCAGTGCATTTTTCAATGAATTTGTAGTCCAGATGATCAATAGGAAGATGGTATGTTTTTGTTGTTTCATGGCTGAACCAGGATGACATTTGACCAGCACTTACAGCTACAAAGATAGAATTTAATTCTTTCCGATATATTTTCTCAAAATTATTAAATTGCCTAAGTTATAAAATAAAATGCTGTAAAACTGGTCAGGTTATTTTGGAAATTGTTTTCAAATATAGAAGAAAGGTGTCAATCTCAATCTTAATTTGGATCTGGATCAATTTACAACACCTGTATATAACCCTTGGCATACACAGTTTCATATAAATTTGAGACCATGTTCTTGATGGTCTCACAAAAATGCTGCTATATAGATGTGATTAATCATAAATAACAATTTACCAGTCAAGGAAAACAGGTGACACTGCCCCATAATCCACTCTAAATATTTTCTACTACTCCAAGTTATTCCCAGCTCTTGTTCTGGGCACACTGCCAAGCAAAACTGCATATTTTATTCAAATATTTTCAAGGAAGCCTCTTAACGATACTGTAATAAAGACAATGCCAATTCCAGGTTCTTTTGCTTCATAGTATGTTTTCTCATTTCTTTTTAATTAAAACAAAATGTAAATAAAATAATATGAGCAGGAAAGAGAACACAGAAACACAAGACAAAATACTTTCAGATTTTCCTCATGGACCTCTTTTATACATGCTTTTATTTGAAGTCACTCCCATGGAACCACTTCTGGGACTAGAGCAGTACTGATTTATGCTCAGCACTTAATAGAAGGAATTCACTCACACACACATACACACACACACACACACAAATCCAAAACCAAATAGGATAGATTATTTGTTACCAACTTGCCTCAGTATTTCAAATAAACCAGAGTTAAATCAGGATATGCTGTACTCTATTAAGGTAATATATTAAAAGATTCTATTTTGATGATAATAATCTGACTCTGATAGAATTAAACATTGCATGTTGGATTTTATTCAAAAATAGACAATTAGACTATTGCTGATATTGCAGGGTTCTTTTTTCCAAATATCCTGAAGGGTCACTAAATCTTCTTGAGTAGATTTATGAATGATCAGAAAAGATATCTGTTCTATTGGCAACAGCACACCTTTTTCAGATCATATTATACATGCTGTACAGATTTCAACTTATATAATGAGATACATTTAACAATTTTATCAAACAATTATTTTAATATTATTCTGCCTTAAGCTAAACCCAAGAGATGTTAGCAAAGAAAAAAATGAAAATGAAAAACGGTCTTATAAATTCATTTTTGCTATTTACAGATAAGTAGAGTAGCTATTATAATGAGCAACATGTTGAATTTTAGGAGCTATATAGCTTATTTTAATTGTATTATTCTGCAAAATATAAAGTGTAAAAAGATCCATTTGCTCTTAGGAATTTTATCTTTGACTGAATGTAAGTTATTCATGCTTTTCTCTTTGCCTGAAGAAAAAAAAAATTCCCTTTGCCCAATGAAAAAATCTTTGCAGAGATTTTTACCCATAAGATAATTGCTCAGGTTTAATGGTGCATAAGAAATCAATTGCCTCTATGTTTTAGGCCTTTATTGTTTAAAGAAATGAAGAGGAAAAAAGTGTGTGTGGAATTCTCATATAGCGAACACATTATGTTGAATGTATCATCATCAGTGTACATGTTTCTAATTTTAATTGCATTGAGTAAAATAGTATAGTGAGAAGTCTTTTTTCTTCGCCTACGCAGCTGATTTAAATAAAAGGAATACTAATACCTAGAATACATATTTGTATATAATCCTATATATTTTGTAGCAGAACATCATGTTACAGTAGTTTTTGCCATATTAGGCAAACATGCCTATTCTTCTGTAAATAAGTATTTTCTGCTACAAAATTTAAAATTTTGTAAATGGCCATATTGGAAATTATTTTTGGTTTTCTTTGGAATTACATTAAGACAGATGTTAAAGTACAGATATATACTGGCCCAAGACCCACTCAAAAAGCAAAAAACCTTCACTCAAAAAGCAGCTAAATTGTTTCATTACAAATGATACAATAAAGAATTAATTGAAAACCAGTGACATCTCCTCTTTGGAATCAACCAATTTTAAAATTCAGATTTCATGGATCTTGCTGGAATTCATTCTTCTATACAACAATTTACTCCATTTTATTTTTTTGTGATTGAACTCTAAAGACACACAAAGAAAACAGGAGAAATGTATAAAGAATAGCAGCAAAGTACAATTTTAGTTAAGAAAGATAGTTCTTGTAAATGCCCTCTGTCGTTCAAAAACAATATGGCAGCCTTTTTGCAAATGATTAGCAACTGTTGCTATGTACTAAACTGAAAAATATGGCTTCCTGGGATTTTGCATAGCTTCAGTGTATCGGTGAACCTACTCCACTCTTTCATAAAATGTGGATCTAAGATGCTTAGGGTTTCATCAAGGCTGTGAAACTGAAATTATTTTCCAGAATTTAAATCCTATGAAACTACTATATTAAAACCCCATCAAACAATGTCAATTTTAATATATTGATAACATAACCCATATAAGCAAAAGTTTGTTGGAGACCCTTCATCATTTTTAAAGTGGGAAAGTTCTGAGTAAACCAAAGATTAAGAAATGCTGATCTAACGTGTCAAAGCTGCACTAAGCTCTTTTGTGAAAGGAATTCCTACACTTGAGAGTGAATTCAGAAAATAAGATTGATTAGGTACCCTATGCATAACAGGAGCATCAATCTTCTCCTGTGAGATCCAGACTAAAATAGGTAGGAATCGAGGTGTCTTTTTAAACTGGGTAATTTGAAGACGGGTGGACTTCAACTCCCAGAATTCCCCAGCTAGCATTGTATTGAATTATGCTGGCTGGAGAATTCTGGGAGTTGACGTCTACCCATCTCAAAGTTGCTATAGGGTTCTTTAAGCCAAGGCAAGATGAAGCCTCTTTGCTCCCCAATCAATCAATCAACTTTATTGTCATTGTAGGTGTATACACAGTATACCCATACAACGAAATTCACTTAACACCCAAAGACCAGGTCCAACACACATAATAAATTTACCACTCCCAATAACATCAAGAGATGCTGGGAGTTGTTTCAACTTACATCTAGGATCCAAGACACTGAAGAAAAGGTAGATGGAAATGAACGGACTGGTATTGCCCCTCAGCCTTTCCCCACCTTTTCCTGTTCCTTCCCAAAGGAAACCCGTGTTTACCACGCTCACGGGAAGCCCCCCTCCCTCCGCGGCCATTCTCTAATTGTTCCCATTGATGTCTCTGTCCACTCCCCCGCCCCCCGAATCTGTCCCGCTCTCCCCGATTCTTCTGCAACCCACCCCTTTTCCTTTCTCGCTCCTTGGACGGTTACCTGCTTCAATGAAAGCCGGGCGTCTCCTCCTCCTCCTCCCTCCACTGCTTCCCAACAGTCCCGCCCCACAAGGGATGCTGCGAGATGAGCGTCCACCCGCCGTCAGTAGCCAATTAACGCACGCGCTCACGCACCTGGCAGAAGCGCCGCCGGTTAGTCAGCTCGACGGCCAGAGATTCCCTCCGGGCGTGAGATTCAGTACCTGAGGAGCATGCGTGGAAACCCCCGTCCCAGCCAGGAAACCTTCCATAGGAGGAGGGGGGAGTGGTGTCCTTGGACGGTCACTATGGCGACACTGGAACAGACGCCGCGTGGGAAAGAACCCGCTCCTCCCGTTTAAAACCACTGGAAGGGCGTGATCTCTCATACAGAAGGAATCGATTGACTATTTTACTGAGCTTACATCTTCTTTTCCGTTTCTCCTTCCACGCAAAGCAGCTTAGCAAAGGAACGGAGCAAGAAAAAAATTGGCTCGCCAGCTAATTAAACATAGCTTGGAGGGGCCTTGTTATTCTTAGTAGATCCAAGGAAGATAACCAGGTTTCATATAAATGTAATGCAAAGCAGGTGGAAAATTAGATTCAGAATTCTTCCATCTCCTTGAAAAAGTATAATACAGTATCAGACCCAATTTTTCAACAGGTATTCTCTATGTCATCTCTTCACTTAGAACCCATAAGACTGATTGTCCATCTTGAAACTAAAGTATGTAAATATTTAAAGCTTCAATAAAGTTAAACATAAGGAAGGAGACTGTTATATTGTAATTAAAAAAAAACAAAAAAATCAAGCCAAATGTCTGTAAAGGGGTTCTCACTTTTAAAATCCTTGTCATTTTCATTTCCCAAGAAATCAAAGGGCATGTACACATATTAAATTGATATATTACTTTTTCTGTACTTTGCATATTTTTTCCCCAACATTGGAACACTGGGGGATGGGGAGTGAATATTGGGCATATATTATATTTGTAACTAGTCAGTTAGATAAATAAAGCTAAAAGTAAATGATTGGGCATCTATTAGTGAGCTTAATGCTTAAAGCTGGGAAGATTGAACCATTGTTTTATGATCCAAGCCTGAACTACTTCATTCCTCCAAACCTTCCCTATTTCATTTCAAACCGAATACAATTTGGTAATTTTAATTAGTATAATTTACATTAGATAGTACAACTACCCACTAACATGTAGGTTTAACTCTAATCAAATTTTGCTTCTATAAACAGAGTCAACAAAATACTTGAATAAAATTTTATTGCAAGAACCAAAATTGGAGTATTTGCTTAAATAAAATCAACACAGAATGGACATGAATTCAGATCAATTAGATGCATCTTCTGTTCTCTTCATCGGGCATCAAATACAACCACTGTGACACAGTTAAAGAAATGATTGACTGGAAAGTATGAAAAATGGCAACTATAATAAAAATTAGACAAATAATTTTATAATTTGCAATGTATAAATAAAAGAGCAGTTGTCCCTTAGCTGATCTTCTGTCACATGTATATTTTCTCATAGTTCACAAACTTATTCCTAACTGGAGGCCTACCCATGCATTCTATTTTATTTATAATCCTTCCTATTGCTCTTTTTCACTAACAGATAAAACTGGCAAATAATCAAAGATTTTCTAAATCAAATCTAAAAACTATTAAACTGATTCTGCCCATGCAACCTATCTCAAAAGGATTTCTGAAAGTTTCCATTCCATGAGAAGTACATAGAGCTTCGATGAGACAGTGGCCCAATACTGTAGAATTTGATTCCCCTGGAAGTAGAAACTTACCTCCTTGCATTCTGCAAAATAGTTAAAATATTTTTATTCTATTGTATTTTTGAACAAAGCAATTGTAAAGATCCATTGTGTATGTATCTATTAAGTTGTTTTAATGTGTAGTTTCTATTTTCTACCAGCATCTTACAACTGTGATATCTACAATTATTATGAATAAATAAAAGCCCAAGTCAACATCTATTAGAATTTTCAGGCACTGTAAGGAAAATGGGTGTGCTGCATGTAAAAACTCCCTATTTATTATTTATTTATTTATTTATTGGTTCGATTTATATGCCGCCCTTCTCTGGAGACTCAGGGCGTCTTACAATGCATTAAGCAATAGCCTTCATACTTTTGTATATACCTGCTTAGTAGGGCTTTCGGGGGGCCCCTAAGCGGTGTTCTTTTTTATACAAAGTCAGCTTATTGCCCCCACAATCCGGGTCATCATTTTACCTACCTGGAAAGGATGGAAGGCTGAGTTAACCTTGAGCCTGGTGAGATTTGAACTTGCAGTAATTGCAGGCAGCTGGTGCTACTTAACAGCACTTTAGTCTGCTGCGCCACCAAGGATCCTACCAGACTGTTTTGAATGTACTCCTCTCTTAAGTGGCTGGAAGCCTGAAGAGAAATTGATTTTAAAATGTTATGAAAGGAAACATTAAATTAGGACACCAAATGCTGGCACAATTAAGTGTGACAGATGCTGCTTTCACTAGTCACACTTACAATGTCACTTGAGAAAATAGGTTATAAAATATTATGTTACATACTTTAAGCTGTGGCAAGCCTGCTTTAAAGTACTTCTAAATCAGATCAAATATTTGCATATCTAATAGTGTAATAGTAAACTCTGGGATTCTATTTTATAGATCATCTTAAGGAGCTTTAATATTGTCCCAATTTTACAGTATGCTTCATCTAACTAATATACAGGTAATCCTTGATTTACAGCAGTTTGTTTAGTGACTGTTTAAAGTTACAGCAGCACTGGAAAAAGTGATTTATGATTGTTTTTCACACTAATAGCCACTGCAGCAATCCATGGTCAAATAATCAAAATTTGGATTCTTGGCAACTTACTTAGAATTATGATGGTTGCATTGTCCCAGGGTCATTTTATCATCTCTTGTAAATTGATGTGAAGCAAAGTCAAGAGGGAAGCGAGACTCTAACCCTAACTGTGTTACTAAGTTAGCAACTACAGTGATTCATTTAACAACTGTGGCAAGTAAGGTCATAAAATGTTGCAAAACTCATTTCACAACTTTTAGCAACAGAAATTTTAGGCACAATTGTGGTCTACCTGTATGAGGTATACCTATATGAAATACAACAGACTCATTGGCAAATCACTGTGTAAGTATAAAATGACATAACTGAATGAGACACTAGAAGAGATAAAAAACACAAATTAAGATGCTCAAGTATAAGGATACATCTTTTTGTTCTTTTCTTATACATTATTCTGTAACCACACTCTCTGCATCTGATAGGATCTCTTGCTTTTATCTCATTTTCTTTGTGGCAATCTGAAAATAATGACAATCAATAAGAGGTAAAATAAGTGATAAAATGAAAAATGAAATTAAACTAAGCATTAAGACATTAAAAAACCCACATATTTTATTGGAAATAAGAAAATGTTGCTAACCAACTTTCTGACTACTCTTCCGTGATATATATGATTAAAACTTCAAGAACTTCTCTCCCTAGTAAAAAAAGTTCTACTAGATTATGACTGGTATCTCATATTCCTTTTCACAGAATAATTACAGGGAAGAGGCAAACCCATAGTAGCAATAATATCTAGCTTCTTTCCTCTTTCTTCAGAATGCAGAAAAACGGCACTAGCATGGAAACTCCAGATTAACTAGATGATTTTTAACTAACACACATTCTATTTAAATCTATAGCATTATTCAGGTTCATGCTTTTAAAAAATTAGGACTCAAAATCAGTAAGAAAAAAAATATAACCCTTTTAGCAAGAAAGTCTTGTTAACAACCCCACGCCACGCCAACCCTATCCCTTTAACAGCTTTATTCCCTGTGTGCTATGGCATTACTTACCTCCGCAGATGTATATCATAGGTTGCTGCTTTGGAGGGGGAGCATCTTCTTCAGTTTCCATATTCTGTTGTAAAAGAAAGCCAGCACGCTCCATAAATCAATTTCGGCTGAGCAAAATTAAAAAGAAAATGATACAAAAAGAGCTCGTTAAGGTATTGGAAACAACGCAAATGCAAATTACCCCAGCCCATGATTTACCGGTCGTGGCTTGATCTATGAGGTTTTACTCCGAGCGTCAAAAGGAAATGTGAATTGAGGAAGAATATCGGGAAGGGACAAAAAAAATTCAGACTAGACCTGTTCAAACGAAGTGATTTCTTCGAAATAAACCTATGACGGCCTCTTCCCCTTAGGATGTATCTCACACGCACGACTCTGTGGCGCACGTTGATGACGTAATCAAAACGCTGTCGCCTTCGCGAGAAAGCGATCTAGAGCTATAACACAGGGGGTTTCAGTTACATAAATTGAGTTATTCTTGATGTAATTATATAACGTTTTATGAATGTACATATATTACTAATTTGGTTTAGTAAACGAGGGCGGGGAGAGATTTCTCTTTTTCAATATACAATGAAAACAAAATGTTTAAAAAGATCCTGAAAGGGCTTTAGGAAGCTGGAAGATTCATAACGTTTTTAGAACAGCTTGAAATACCAACACCTATATCTGAATAGGATTTATTATGGTTACATGTTGGTTTCAAGAAAATTGATCCGAAGACCTGCAAAATGCTTTTCTTCACTACTAAATAAAAAATCTAGTATTTAATGCAAGGTCTCATCAAGCCACAGCACTGGACTGTGAGCACATTCATTGAACTCAATGGGACAAACTCATAAGTTTGAATGATCATATTTGAAAATACTGTGACTAAATTCACATATTAAAAACTCTTTGTTTAACCGAAGTTTATTAAAAAATAGTTCGCCATAGTTTACAAGCCACAATGACTAGGTTCACATTATTTAACCCAAACCAAACAAATTATGTAACATGGAAGTCGTGCCTCCATTGTTATAAGGACAATTCTTTTTTTCCAGATAGATATATAGTCCTTCCGAATGCTGTACAAGCTGAAGAATACCACAAACATGTTTAGTAAATATCTGTAGTCCCGGCCTAAATCCACCTACCATTCGGAGTAATAAGCATTCTATTTATAGATGTTTTTACGGGTGTTTTCACATGACTTATTGAATTTTAGCTAACTACATTTTAGCCTAACAGGTTAGCAAACATACCGTTGTTCATTTATGGTTCAATGTGTCTTTGACATTCAGAAAAAGTGGGTGAATACCCCATGAGTCAAGGGTCTACAGTCAAGCATGTGCTGCGCATACTAACGCATGCTACTTTTACAACCAGTTTGCACAATTAATCAATATAATACTCAACCCGCATGGGGCTTATTTTAAGTGTCTTAAATAAAAGCCCTGTGACAAGACTTTTCATTCTCGTATCGATTTGACACCTTGCGAATTCTTTTGGAACATTGTGAAACGAGGCTTTTTCCATACAGAGTGGAATGAGGATTCCAATCGACTTCAGTGTGAATTGCGATGGCGAGGAACAGGGACTCCGCTTCAGTACTAAACATAAACAGATTTTTTATACACAGTGTAAAATATACACACACACACAAACACACCAGAAAACGTCCTAACGGCAGCGGCTAAATAATGCATCCAGCGAAGCCCGGAGCAGAACTACGGTAGACTTGGGCTGAGATGAAGAGAGAATTAAGGCAGGGATGGAACCTATCCAAGGGAAGCCAGCCTTCCTGCTGGTTTAACCGCCCTTCGCAAAAAGTCCCCACGGAGCAGGTGCCTTGTTTTCACCGGCCGCTCAATCAGCCTCGGGCAGCTGCAGCGTCGCGCCCGCTCTTCCTCCTCCCTTTTGCCGAAGCGGGACGCTCGTGCGCCTGAGGGTTATCCGAGCCTCCCTCCTTGGGAACTAGCGGGGCGGGCGGGGGAGCTACAACAGTTAGGAAAGGCGGGTAGTTCAAACCGGAGCGAGGGAAAACCTCAGCTGACGCACGCGAGCAGCCGGCGGCTCCTTCCTCGGCGGTCCCAGGCAGAGGAAAGACAAGAGACACAGCTGACCCGGCTCTGGGCTGCCAAGAGCGCTCCTCTAAATCTCCGGGGCGGCCCTCGCATTGCTTCCCCCAGTCTCACTGGCTCCCCGTTGGTCATCGCCCTCCCTTCCACTCCACCTGTTTTCCTCGCCCACCTTGACCAGAGAGGGAATTGGGGAGCTCTCTTTGCCCCTCAATCCCGGGGAATAAACCCCGCGTCTCTTTCTGATCCCAGAAAAAATGGCAAGAGTGTAACCCCTCACCTGGGGTGCAAAGCGGGTTGGTTGAGCATACCTGGACGTGAATTACAGTTACCTGCCATTGAGGGCTTTAAGCATACACTGGGGAAAGGGGTAGGGGTTTCCCCCCCCCCCTTGCCTTTCATCTCTCCTCCTCCTCCTCCATTCTGAATTAAATATGCAGAAAACTTCACCTGAAGCAACTTTTGCCTTTCAGACTGACTAGGTAAGTGAGGTCTGTTGCCTGGTCTGGTGGAGGAAATTTCAAGCAGCAAACACCCAAGACATCAGTAGGGGATGAAACTGACTTGATACACCGGGAGGAGAGATGTTTGGAGTAGTTTAGGATTGCAGGGCTCTACACACTAATCTAGAACTTGAGGGGGAAATAAGGGTCTTACTTCTGAGTAGACATGCTTAAGATGGCTGCTGTTAATGTATCAGGTAAAATGTTGAAGGTGAACATAAATACGTCTGTATCAGAAATGTTTCTTATTCAATGGCTTATGCAAACATCCAGGGCAGGCAAGATATATTAAATTAATTATTAATATTTAACTTGCCTTAAATATATTCCAAAACTTCTACCCAGGGTTTTAGGGGGCGGTATGTTTTCAGTAGTGTATGCCATTCTCTGCTAAATTTTATTACTGATAGCTGTTCATTTCAAAGTAGAACAGAAGTAGAATATTAATTCTCACCATTTTCTAAGCAGTTGAAAAAGATCGAAGATGTCAAAGTCTTCCATGATGATCATAGGAGACAAATACAGGTAGTCCTGAACCTATGACCACAATTGAACCTAAAATTTTATTTTGTAAAGTAAGACAGTTAAGTGAATTTTGCCCCACTTTAAACCTTTCTTGTTGCAGTTGTTAAGTGAATCATTGCAGGTGTTAAATTAGTAACACGGTTGTTAAGTGAATCTGGCTTCCTCCGTTGACTTTGCTTGTCTACTGTCAGAAGGTTGCAAACTGCCAGAAGGTTGCACAAAGTAATCACATGACTCCAGGACACTGCAATCATCATAAATATGAACCAGTTGCCAAGCATATGGATTTTGAACATGCGACCACGGGGATGCTGCAATGGTCATAAGTGTGAAAAACGTTCTTAAGTCACTTTTTTCAGTATTGTAACTTCAAACAGTCACCAAATGAACAGTTGTAAGTCGAGGACTACCTGTATATGCTGCTTTTGAACATGGTGGTTCCATTTTTAGTTGCATATTCCAAGAAATAGTTACAGGCTGCATCTATAAGCCTACACCTTAGTTCCCTCCAGGGAAAAGCTGTCTAAGGCTGTCAAGTCTATTTCTCTATATTTTTAAATCCACTAGTGGATGAAATTGTGATTTAATTGTTGCTTTCCTGCAAACACCCCCCTCCCACAATGGATCAATTCACACTCAAGACTTCACTGGAAAAACGATATAAATTGGAGGAAGAGAATCAGAGGGAAGAGGAAAGTGGAAGAAAAGCAGTATTTTCTAATAATGTAATTGAGCATAAGTAAACAAAGAATCTTCAGGTATGTGATAACTTTTGTGAAAGTGATCATAGTTCTAACTGTGACAAGTAATACTCTAGGAAAACACTTAAGACATTTTTATTTACTTGGCAGCAAGCTCAAAAAGTTTCATTAGATGACACGTTAATTTTTCCCGAGGACTTTTTTTCTACAATATAAATAATTTTAGAAAATGTTTGCCATGCTTTTTCAGTACTCCTCATTGAAACTAATAAAATAGCTTTTCTTTCCAAGGAAGACTGTCATAATTTTAATTTTTTTCAATTGATTCTTGAATAGTGATGTTAGTGCACGTCAACAAAGATACTGTAATTAAGATTCTTTTAATTAAGAACTAAAAATTAGCACATTATAGCATAAACTGTAGGAGAGCCAGTTTGGTGTCTTGGTTAAGGCATAAGTCTAGAAATTTTAGTCCTATCTCAGGCACAAAGTCGATTGGGTAATCTTGGGTCAGTTACTCTCAGCCCTAGGAAGCAGGCAATGGCAAATCACTTCAGAAAAACCTTGCCAAGAAAACTGCAGGATCTAATCCAGGCAGTTGCCAAGAAAAAAAAACCTGATTTGAAGCTACCCCACTTCCAAAAGCTTTAGGAAGTACACATGCACATGGTACCTTGTCTTATACCATCTTGACAATCCTTCGCTCAACTCATTGTAGCTTGTCAATGTCCTTTTAAAAATAAAACTGGATACTGTATTTAATGTCAGCCCTGACCAAGACAAAATGGGGCAGTTATTTCCTATAATCAGGACTCTAAGCTTCTGTTATATCAGTTCTTCAGGATAGACCAGATCTCAAAATACACTCTACATAAAGACCAGTATTATACTTTATTGAGATACGAATGAAGGCAAATATACATGTCTCAGGATATTGCAGGACCTTATCTGTGTCAGTCACCGGGACCAGAGGTTTAGTCTTCTGAGCTTTCGGACTCATGCTGGAGCCCATCTTCAGGAAAATTCTCTCTCACCAGACAGTGTTTATTGAGATAGGCTATAATACAGGTAGTCCTTGCCTTAAACCATTTGTCTAGTGACCATTTGAAAATAGCAATTTATTACCATTTTTCACACGACTTTCAGCATCCCCCTGGTCACATGATCAAAATTTGAATGCTTGACAACTGGCATGTGTTTATGACAGTTGCAATGTCCCGGGTTCATGCGATCACCTTTTGTGACTTTTTGACAAGCAAAGTCAATGGGAAAGTCAGATTCATTTAACAAGCATATTATTAACTAAAAACTGCAGTGATTCACTTAACAACTGTAGCAAGAAAGATTATAAAATTAGTCAAAATTAACAACTGTCTTGCTTATCAATGGACATTTTGGGCTTAATTTTGATCATAAGTCGAGGACTACCTGTATCTCCTATCCCAGAACTTAAGGAATATTTCTGTTTCTTTATTTACATAACGGTTTCTAAATACTTGCTTCAAGACCACCTCCCTGGTTTTCTATATGCATCCTATATTACATCCCCACATAGAACTTTTTAGAAGTTCTGTCACTTCATTGACTCATATTCAACTTGCCATCCAGTGAAATACCCA